GGAATATGGTCCTTTACATAATCATCAACTGGCTTCGGTTGTTTTCCTCTCAGTGAGGAGATGTTTGATTATCCGACTGTGAGCTCCCATTGTAGGTATCATTACCGTGGAGTCTTATTTGACGTTCCACGTGACACCTACCTCGTCTGTTCAGAATGGGTAGCGACTTCGTTGCTGACTGATACTTTCGTAATTTTCATTTCCATCTTCGGCAGTCGTCCTCGTGCTGCCATAAGGGTGAAGCATGTTCTGATCGCTGACCTTTCATAGTTTGCTTCGATTTTCCAGCAGCCTAGTATGCCTTTGGTGGCATGGGCGACGGCCGAGTCTGTACACTATTCGATAACGTCAATACCATGAAGGTTAGGCTGCTAAATTTTACGAGGAGACCTCGCCATGATTAGCAGCTCTCCTCCATTTTCATCTGGTCTTGCCACGGACAACGGTGGAGTTATATTCCTGTACTTCTTAAATATTTCCATATTAAACTGATGCAATTATATCTTTTTTTAACTGCGGTATTTTGTGATGAAAAACTAAGTCCTAAAGTATTCTAGTTCGAACGGTTTGGCATCTGATGATGCAAACGCGAGCAATTTAGTCAAAGCTGATTCACAGCCGGCTTATGACATGGTCATCAAGCAGATAGACATGAGCTCGTCTAGCGACTACCTGTTCACCATGTCGTCTTCGCAGATTCGGATATGGGATTTACGAAAGTAATGTTGCTTTTTGGTTTTATGCTTTTCGTTGTTTTAAGCTTCACCTTTAAGCTACTTTGCCGTTGGAAAAATGATCCCTCTTCGTGACAGCGTCAATACGGAGTTTTGTTGTTTCAAAGCATGTTCGTCGTTGGAGCGCTTCAGTGGTGACCAGGTTTTCGTTGGATGTAAGGATCACTCTATCAAAGTAAGATAATGTATCTGGCTTTCTTCCATGTGGTTATTTATCTCATGAAATGCTGAAGTCACCTACCAAAGCAATTTCACAGACTGCATTTTCTCAATACTTGTAATTTCGTACAACTTTCGCTATTCTTTTCGTTTTTGTAGTTGTTTTTTCAGAGCGTTCATGTTTTTTGCTCATCGGCCAGGCCCCTCCCCGATAGACTTGATTGCAAGGTGCGATATTACCAGATATTAGCATACTGTCTTGCCGTTCACATGTCTCTGCCCTTTCATGTAATTTTCTGACAGGTCTTCCGTCAGTTTTTTCTGACGTCTTAGTCACATGTCCACACCATAGCTGTTGTAATTTCTTGATGTGGAGAAGGAGCCGATTACACGCGAAGGATTTTTTCCTTGCCGTGCTTTGAAGCTTGTCGACCAGATGGTTACGTGCCTTCGCATCTCCGTTTGGCAGTTCGTAACTGCAAGCGATTACCACGTGATCTAGAACGCATACGTTGTGCATAAGTGCTGATACAACACTAGTTTCCCAGCACTGGCTCGTAAATGTGTAAAGATTAATACTTGGTTAAACTCTCGGCTTCTGGACAGGTTGAGCTTCGCGAACCGGAGATCGTCTTTCTGCGAACGTCGATCCCGCCGGTATGGCCTGGAATGTCGAAAATGCGTTTTTCGCTGTGTTTGTGGGTTATCCGAACGAATCACCTTATTGAAGCACTTACCTCAGACAGCATGACTGTGGGTCTTGCGAGCTCTGACATGACTACGTCGAAACCTAATGCTCTTCATGTCGTTCGCAGGTCAACGACTTGCTGCCCGTTTCTTGACTGTTTACTTTGAAGCAATGTAAGCTGAATTTTGTGCTTGAGAAAATTAGCAGTTTGCAAGAAATTTTTTACACTGCGCTGTGTTTCGAGCCAGAATCTGTGAAGTATGGGGGGCAGACTTGTTCACAGCTCCGCTGTTCCCTGTTCCCATTTGTGTGGGATAATCCAGATTTTGTGTCTGAGCTCAGGGCCCCTATTATTTGCCACATGATACTGGTTGCATCTGCATGCATGGTTTGACGGATTCTCGTTACATGCTCATACCTCTGTTGCATCGAGTTTGTTCATATGGTTACATTTAGCATGCATTAGCACTTTTTAGAAATATTCCCTTCCCGCCAAAAATCTTTGCGAAGTATTTGAACCAGAGCTGTCGTTCGAACTTTTTCACAAAGACGAAGTCAAGTGCTTCGCTGACAACAGAGGCAGCTTGTTCACCGGCGGGGACGACAAGCAGATCGTCAAGTGGAACGTGGTATCCGGTCATTGCGTCCAGCAGACGACGGCAGCTCACAAATACGGCATATCAGCGTTGGACGTTATGCCCTATCCGCACGACGATGTGCTGCTTTCCGCCTGTCGAGGTGGCTATTTGAAGTTGTGGAAAAGCGACGGATGCGAGTACATCGCAAGTACGCAGGCGCATACCGAGCCTATCAATTGCATATCCAGCACGGCCGATGGGCTGGTGCTGACGGCGTCCAGGTGAGCCGATCAATTTTAAATCCTCTGCAGATTTAGTTAATCCGTTTGATCCACGTTCTGATTTCTAGTGGCCATTCGTTGGGAATTTTCAAGCTCAATCCCGACATTGTCAATATGTGAAATTGCCGGGCAAGAAGCAGAAACTTTTCTATGAACGACCACAGCTTCACTGATCTCATCGTTCGTTTACTGACGCGTTTTGTGCCTGTAAGAATTTCTTGCGTATGCACTCATATCGCAGCTCAGGACAGCTGTCGACCACAAGTATCAAAATATTGCGTTACGTTATGCAACGTTTGCAAATTAGACCGATTAGTAAATAATGCCTAAGGTCACCGTTGGGCGCCATACTGCAGCTAATGGTAGTCACATTCACTTCGGCCAGTGAGTCGTTCACGTCAGCGAAGAATATTTCTCGAGGCGTATCTAGTTTTCGTAAATCCCCGCACAGTCGAAGTCAAACCAGTCAAAAAATCAGGACGATGATTGGTCATTTATCATTAATGATAAAAATGACGTGTTATCCATCGGAACAACTTCATTATATCAGGCTCAGTATCTGACGGGACGGTTGCACAAAACTGAAGAGTGTAGTAGGGCCTCCTCGATGACGACAGTTGAGGATAACCCGCTGCCACGGTTGACTTGCCGAGTCCCAATGTTTCACGATGCATCGGTCGTACAGTGCTATGGGTGAGATCAGGTGGTCGACCTTTGTTCCCGTTTTACATGGAGACCAGCGAAGATGTAATTGTGCAGTCTAGCGACGTGACCGAAAATGCGGAGTTGCCTGGATCGTATAGTATCGTTGACATCAGGAAGGTAAGTTCGCTGCGACTCCTCTGTGCTACGAATATATACTTACTATTCGGTACGGAACAGTTGCCTCAGACAGAAGGAGGGGAGCGTGTTCATGTAGGAGTGTAACACAGTTTATGTCTTTGCTCTCTACGGCAGCGTTACCATGACGTGGTGTTTCGATCAATCAGCAAACCCATACCTTGCTTGTTGCCGAAGATGTTGCATTAATTTGTATTCGTGTAAGTGCAGAAGTTAAGGCCGCAGGTCACAGCAGCTAGACTACAGAGGAGGTGATCCATTTTTACAGCAACAAGGATTAATCAAGAATGTGACATCGCCATTGGCCTTTTTGATTCACTGCTGAATGAAGGCCTCTGCGAAACTTTGCCATGAACTTAATTTCTGTGATAGTTTATATCTTGTTCCAAAGGGCTTCAGCTCATCCCGTCCCATCATTAATCTAGTGGTCTTTCTGCAGGCATTTACTGTCTCTTGGAACTCTGTCTAATATCTCTCTAGTCCAGCCATGGCCGGTTTCTCTTGCGACGTGTACTGTGCATTGTCACTTCTGCTTCTTAACTCAAGCAATGATATCGAAGACTGCTGTTTGTTCTCCTTGTCAGTGATATGAAACGTATGTGACAAGAAATATCGTGCTCTATTCAGACATGAATACACAAGTCTGGGAATTATTGTTTCCTCCGGTTTGATTCGTTTAAATAATTTATGAAAAATATTTTTCAGTCCATTCCCTAATATACTCCATTCAAAATTTTCCTAATCTATCGTTTTCTTCTGTATCAGCTGTCTGTCTTCATTTAGAAGGCGTAGGGTACTTCAAGAAACAGGTAACCGTAAACCATTCGGTCATTATACATGTTCATCTAAAGTGTGGACTGCAACATAGCTTCTGTTGTTTAATCATACAGACGACATATGTCAGTTTGATTGGTAAATGAGGTTAAATCCTAGTCATATACAAAGCAGAGTAAGTTTAAGTTTTGCGAAATCTCGTTGGCCTGAAAGCGCAACAATGACGGTATTGCGCCGGGTACCGAGGCAACGGTTTCCATGGTAACCAGTCAAACGTGTGTGCTGACTTCATGAATGCGATCCTATGCTGGAAAGACCAAATTACCGAGGGCGATCACAATCTGATCAGGTAAATTATAGAAATAGACCAGTAGAAGAGGGTGATGCAATCAGTGATTCTGGCAGAACGAATTTTTGTTCGTCCAGCGACATTTTGGAGTGATGGTTTTACTTGAAGGAAAATTCTTGCTTATCGATACCGGTGATATAAAAGAAATTGTCAAAACTGGTATTTTCTGAAAGCTTAAATACTTGCCAACTCACAATGATGAATCTGTCTGATATTCCTCAGGCAAAGTTATTACATATTTTTCAGTGCATATAAAGTGGAAACTAATAATCTGCGGCGCATGTAAATTGTTGTGTTTATTTTGCTTGACTTGACTTTGCTAGATGGCAAGTGAGCTAGATATATTTTGTTAAAACGCTCTAACCTTTGGTGGTCTTGTAATTCTGCACAGGGGTGCATTTGAGGCTTTTCGCTTGGGTGGTTGTCGTTTCCGGTCTAAATGTGGGTACCATCAGTTGGTGGCCTTACAAATTGGCTTTCTGCCGGTACGATTGTTTCGTTCTCACGTATAGTAATCGGTCACTACAGTATTTGTTCATGAATTTGTTCAACAGAAAGTATAAACTTCAACACTAAGCCTCATTTAGCAATTTATAAACCCCACAACATCAGTCGACCTCTTACAAATGCACTGTTCAATTTCTTTGCAACTTCAGTTTCTATTTATAGTCTAGTTTGGTTTTATGATATTGCCGGTCTTGATAGTGATTCGCATCGACTGTTGAGTAGTCGCTTTCGGTTCGAGCTCTACGTTTTGGTGCCTTTATCGTGCATCAAGAAATTGTTCAATTAATCATTTTCGTTTAAGGTGACAAAATACACGTTATATCATTACTGTGCACTAAGTTGCTTCTGACAACCGCATCAGATGACTTACATTGAACTGAACTTTCTGTTGTTGTCGCTCTTGTTGTGTCATCCTCGTCAAACGCTAGCAGAATAACCAACATTTTATGACGTTAAACCGTTGGAAATGATGTTTGAGATTGATATTAGGTAATGTTCAGTGCTGCAGCAAAGTTCATATTCCTCATCACAAGTTGATATGTTTACACAAGATGTTTCCTGATTATATATTGTCTTTCTTTACCACGTCAACGGTCAGTGAATGGCTCCCATTGACAAAGAATTTTGAAAGTAATTACGTTCATTTTTGAGTCAGGTTGTAAAACCAAGCCAGGCATCGGTGTCTCAGTTTATCTGATAGTTTCCTCATGTCGAGGGTTCCACTGTACTTTGAGGAAGTTGTGTAGATAACGTTGTTGGAGGCTGTCAGAAAAAGCTGAATGTTTCTAGACGGTGCATGAGCATCATGGTTACGGCTACTTTTGAAGACGATGATAATCATATATGTTCTGAGAGTTTGATCGTTGCAATTTTGGCAGTCGTGAAGTTCAGTGTTGTGCAAACAACTGTAATCAGGGAGTCGAATTCTTTCAGCGACTCCCATCCAAATCACCTGCATTTGGTAGATGAATTTCAGGCATGACCTGTCACGTCATGTCACAGGTTTTCTTTGGGGTATCATTCATGAAGTGTGGAACAGGTGAAATACGTGAATTACAACCCCGCTATTATTAAAACTTGTGGCATTTTTGTTGCGTTGAACAGTCGGCTCTTTTCAGTGCTTCTGCTTCCATAAAAATTGGCAGTTATGTTTTGCTACGTGAGGACTTGCCTACTGTCGAGGACATGCAGCGGAGGTTGAAAAAAATCGTTAGTAGCACTTCTTCATCATTTGCAGATTATGACAGTCGTTTATGGATTGTTGGGTTGAAGCACGAAATGTGCATCTTCCCTCGTTTTGTGATCTTTCAGAAAATTCGAATTGAAATGTTTTTCCACGCTGGCCATCTCTCAGTATTGGCGTTGTCTTTCTTCTTTGCATTATTTTATACATTAGAAAATCGGATAAGTCCATGGTGGGAGATGTTTCCAATTGTGAAGTTTCACAGGATTAAATGCTGAGCTCAGACGTGCACTAAATATAAAGCTGGTAGGAAAATCAGCTTGACCAAATCCGCGGATCTTATACGCTCCAGAAAGATCG